TGCCCAACCTTCCTTCCGAGGAGTGGCTGGTGGGTTTGAACCGCCAGCCTTCTGGTTAGCAGTCAAGTGCCTTAGCCACTATGCTACCAGAGGGTGTGCTGTAATTAAGGCTGTGCTGTTGCCCGGGGGAGGTCTGGGTTGGGACAAGGCCACGCAGTGTGAGGTCCCTAGGTGACATGGTGTCTGCAGACTGACCTTTCTGTACCACTGAGGATAGTGGCTGCTACTCTAAGGGCAGTTTAGATTGGTCTGATGAGGGCATCTCCCAGGGGCCAGTGCAGCCCAGTTGACGGAGTGGCCTTGGCAAACTCAGAGGCAAGTGGAAACAGTGATGACTTTCTGCCGTGCCTGGTCTCCATCCCCCTTCAAAGACCCCTCATTGGACCAGGTTGTAGCTGGGCACCCTCCACAACAGAACAAAACCCTGCCTGGTCCTGCACCATCCTCATGACCATGGCCATGCTTGAGCCCATCGCTGCAGCACTGTGTCAGTCCAGCTCATGGAAGGCCTTCCCCTTTTTTGTTGACCCTCTGCTTTACCAAGCATGGTATCTTCTCTAAGGATTGGTTCCTCTGACATAACCAAAGTAGGTGAGATGAAGTGTGGCCATTCTTGCTTCTAAGGAGCATTCCCGCTGCACTTCTTCCAGGGCAGATTTGTTCATTCTTCTGGCAGTCCATGGTATTTTCAGTATTACTTGCCATCACCACAATTCAAGTGCATCAACTCTTCTTCTGTCTTCTTATTCATTGTCCAGCTTTCACATGCATATAAGGCAAGTGAATATACATTGGCTTGTTAGGCACATTTTAGTCTTCAAAGTGACATCTATCTTTGCTCCTTAGCACTGTAAAGTGGTCTTTTGCAGCAGATTTGCCCAGTGCAGTAAGTGTTGAGGAATTTCTGTTCTGTGGAATGTTATCCATAGTTTGCATAGCCGAATGCCTTTGATAGTCAATAAAATACAGGTAAACATCTTTCTGGTATTCTTTGCTTTCAGCCAAGATCCATCTGACATCAGCAGTGCTATTCTTTGTTCCACTTCTGAATCCAGCTTGAATTTCTGGCCTTCTCTGTCAATATACTGCTACAACTGTTTTGGAATTATCTCCAGCAACATTTTACCTGCATATGATATTAATGATACTGTTGATAATTTCCACATTCTGTAGAATCACCTTTCTTTGGAATGGGTACAAACATGGATCTCTTCCAGTCAGTTGGCCAGGTAGTTGTCTTCCAAATTTCTTAGCATAGACAAGTAAGTGCCTCCAGCACTGCATCTGTTTGTTGAAACATCTCAGTGGGTATTCCATCAATTCCTGGAGCCTTGTTTTTCAGCATTTCCTTCAATGCAGCCTGGACTTCTTTCAGTATCAATGACTCTTGATCAAAAGCTACCTCCTGAAATGGCTGAACATTAATCAATTCTTTTTTTTTTTTTTTAACTGTGATTTGGGTGAAAATTTACAGAGCAAATTCACTTTCCATACAGCAGTTCACATACACTTTGTCTCATGACATTGACCACAATTTACCACAATGCAACAGCTCCCCTCCCACTTTGATCAATTCTTTTTGGTACGGTGACTCTGTGTCTCCCTCCCATCTTTGAATGCTTCCTGCATCATTCAGTATTTTGCCTACGACTCCTTCAATATTGCAAGTTGAGGCTTGAGTGTTTTCTTCAGTTCGTTCAGCTTGAGAAGCGCAAGCATGTTCTTCCCTTCTGGGTTTCTATTCTAGGCATTTGCACATTTCATTAGAATACTTTTATTTGTTCTTTTAAGATGGCCATTGTTGCAGCCATTACCCATCTCCTTGGGAAGATTCCTCTCTTTCATTGGCCCTCTACCTTCTCCAGGGATTGGCCCCTCCTGATCACTTGTCCAAAGGAAGTGAGACAAAGTCTCACCATCTTCATTTCTAAGGAGGCTTCTGGCTGTACTTCTTCTGAGATAGTTTTGTTCATTCTTCTGGCTGGCTGTGGTGTATTACTGCACTAGGTTTATCTGATTCTGCCATATGAATGCACTGTCATTTACTTCATCACTTCTCTGACAGTGGGTCCATACGTTATTCTGGGCTTTAAGTCAGACTTGACAAGCTTTTTCTGTTAAAGGTCAGAGAGTAAATATGTCAGACTTTGTGAGCCAGTCTGGGTCACAGCTATTCTCTTCTGCCTTTGTAGCCCATCTGTTTCAATCAAACTTTATTTACAAATACAAGCAAAAGGCCAATTTGGTCTATGGGCCATAATGGATCAAACCCTCATGTAAAAGATAACTGCAATAAGTAGCTTTGTACACACTTTAGGCATATGAATGAGTTCATAGGATAAATTCCTAGAATTAGCAAAAAGCATATTCATTTTTAAACAATATTGCCGAATTGCCCACCAAAGAGAATGCCCATTTACACTCTTTATCAAGAAAATTATGCCTGGTCTTCCATTCCTTCACTAGTACTGTTATCAAACATTTTATCTTTGTCAATCTTAAGGGCAAAGCATGGCATCTCACTGCCATTTGAGCTCCTATTTCTCTTGTGTGAAGCTAAGCATCTTTTCATCTTTCACCTGTTTTCCATTAATCATCTGTTCATAGCCTTTGCCCACCTTTCTTTGGACCTGTTGGCCTCATCGATTATAGATCCTTTTTATATGTGAAGGAAATCAGTTCCTTGTCATAAACACTGCAAATCTCAATGTGTTTTATCAGTCAGAAGCTCAGCCAGGATCCTGGGGCCATAATGTCCATAGCAGATTTAAAGAGTGGCTGGAAACAAGAAACAGAGGTGTCACTGACACAGAACTCATTATACCAAAAAAAAAACCCAAACTCACTGCTGTTGAGTCAGTTGGACTTACAGCCTCATAGCGACCCCTCCTTGGGCTTCCCAGGCGGTTTCTCTACGGAAGTAGATTGTCGAGTCTTCCTTCTGAGGAGTGGCTGGTGGGTTTCAACCTCCAGTGGTTGAAAAAACACTAACTTGTTTGCATTCTAATACACAATATGAACACTTATAACCAGTCTGTCGAGGACGTCATTTAATCCACTGTAAAACAAAGTCGGTCCCTGTTGCTGCTGGTGCAAAGAGTTAACATGTTGCTAGGCTTACTGAAAGGGGGCCAGTTCAAATCCACCCAGAGGGACCTAAGAAAGGCCTGGTGATCTACTTCTGAAAAAAATAGCCACTGAAAATCTTAAGCAGTTCTGCTCTGACAACACATGGGGTCATCATGAGTTGGCATCGACACCGGTGGCAACTGGCATTGAAGTTGTGTGCTTCTGCCAACACTGTCACAGAGGTGATGCTGGGTCCCTCTCCACACACAAGGAGCTCCGGTGGCATAGTGGTTAAAACTGCTAACCAAAAGGTCGGCAGTTCAAACCTACCAGCTGCTCCGTGCAAGATGACTCAATCGCTATCAGTCAGCATCCATCTCAAGGCAGAGGGTTTCCCCAGTGCATTGTATGAGCCCTACCTGGGGTTAATTTCTCTCATTAGTGATTGGAGTTAACCTTGCCCACCAGGCTAAGGTGATGTCAGCTTGGTGTCTCCTCTGTAAACTTAACTCTTTTCCCCTTTGTAATAAGTAAGTAGGAGCCCTGGTGGTGCAAAAGTAAGTGCTCTTCTGCTAACCTGAAGGTTGGAGGTTCAAACCCACCCACCAGCACCGGAGGAGAAAGACCTGGCGACCTGTTCCCCGTGAACATTACAGCCTAACAAACCCTATGGGCGCAGTGTTACTCTGTGAGTCAGATCAACTCAGCAGCAGCCAAGAACAACAAATAAGTATCTTCGGAGGAAACATTTTGAGGCTATGCAAATATCCTTAGTTACCACACTTTCTCCCACTAAATTTTAGCATCCATCTGCGGATCTTGCGTATGAGGTGGCTGCCTAACTGGGATTTTTGCTTTCACTCATTCCTTCTGCATTTATGCACTGAAAGACCTGTAGGATCAATCCCAGGGTTAGGAACTGGGGGAGTATTGGACCCTAAGCCCAAAGAAAGAGCCCTCCACCAGCTTCTTCAAGGAAGTATTGTCCTTTCCAAGCCCCGCCCCCAAGATGGTGGCCCCAGAGCGCGGAGAAGGCGGGGCCACGCTGGATCACGCGGCCCCGAACGCCGACGTGGCCTTCGACAGACGCCCCACGTGTCCCTCGCCGCGCCCCGTCCGCCGCGCTTGCCCGGTGGACCCAGTCCCAAGATGGCGGCGCCCAGCAGACGGAGGAATAGCGGCAGTGTCGCGAACTTGTGGTCCGCGCTGCTGCTGGCAGCCGTGGCGCTGAGGCCGGTCGAGGCGGCGTCCGAGCCCACGACTGTGGCATTTGACGTGCGACCTGGCGGTGTCGTACATTCTTTCTCCCAGAGCGTGGGCCCTGGGGTACGTACCACTGTCTCCCGGGGGACTAGAGTGATGGCGACCGGGGGTGGAGCCTCGGGATGGGTTTCGGATCTTGGGGGCGAGGCCTGAGGAGGGGGCATTGTCTTTCAAGGGGCGGGACCTCCCGAGCGCTGGCGACATTGAGGCGGGGTGGTCACCGGCCTCAGGCCCTATCATGCTCAGGGACATCTCCAGGTCATGGATCACTGCTCATTAGCCTAAGCGTCCACCCAACATATCCCAAGACTGGCGAGTCAGGCGAGTCCCTGGTCCGTGGAAGGCAGTGCAGACCCAGCAGCGGGGAGAGACGGGAGCAGGCCTACGAGCTCGCGGGCCCTCTGGGCGCTGTTGTGTGTGGTAAATTCTAACTCATAGCGAGCCTTTATTGCAGAGTAGAACTGCCCCTGAGGTTTCCTAGGCCGTCATCTTTACAGGAGCAGATAGCCAGGTGTTTCTCCCGCAGAGCTTTCGAGTGAGTTCAAACCACTGATCTTTTGGTTAGCCGCTGAGTGCTTAACTGTGGTGGCACAGGGCTGCTCCAGGCCTACCTCGGGTCAGTTTCTCTGCAGCTCAAAACAAGGAGGAAGTGGACAGATGGTGCTTCTTCCTTCCCTTGCACAAAAGACACCAACTTTTTCATTAAAGTGGCAAGGCCAGCCCTCAGAGGAGGAGCTTACCTGTAGCCAGCAGGCTTGGGTCTAGCCCAGTTCTGTCCCCAGCTTACTAAAGAAATCACTTCCTCAGTTGCTGTTTCCCTGCTGGCAGATATGGTATCAGTAGCTACTATATGCAGAGTACTTCTGTATAGCCAAGTACTGTGTTAAGTGCTTTACACGTTAGGCCCATTTGACCAGTTAAAAACAAATTGCTGTCCCGTCGAATCCAACTCATAGCAACCCCATGTGTGTCACAGTAGACCTGTGCTCTGTAGGGTTTTCAGGAGCTGATTTTTTGCAAGTAGATTGCCAGCCCTTTCTTCTGAGGCATCTCTGAATGCAGACAGATCTCCAACCTTTTGGTTAGCAACTAAGCACATGAACCGTTTGCACCACTCACGCACTTCTAGGCCCATTTTACAGCTATGAAAGAGGCTCAGAGAGGTTTTCACATGCCTAGACCCCCAAAGCAGAACAGAGGTGGGGCCCCAGGGGTTCCTGCTTCCAGAACCTGTGTTCCTAGAGGGGTGAGCACTGGAGGGTGACTTCTCCCTTCCTGTTCTTCATTCACTAGGAGCCACATGAGTTGTTTCTTCTGACTCAGGGGCTCCCTAGTAGGGCGACAGGTGGAGGAGTTTGGAGGCTGAAGTCACTGGCAGGTACCACAGGGTTGGTGTCCAAGATTGTCAGCCAGAGGAATGTTGGTGTACCTCTGTTCACCTTAGTATACCTGCTCAAAAGGGGGAAATCTCACTTCACTGCACCATCTTGCTCAGGATCTCAGCAGAAGTCCTAAGACCCTGTACCTTGGGCCCTAAGAACACCACCTACCAAACCTTTTTTTCTCTCTCCCTGCTCTAGGACAAATATACTTGCATGTTCACCTATGCTTCACAAGGAGGAACCAACGAGGTGAGTTGTTCAAAACCAAAGTTCAGGCACATGTCCACTTTCCTACAGAGACATTCTCCAGTTGGCAATGGGACTGTGGTCATACATTCCTTATCGTGCCCTCCTTGAACTATTCTTGCCTAACCAATAGGAAGGAGACTCAGTTTGAGTGGTGACTGCAGCATCCTCTCTCTAGCCTCTGCAGTGAGAAGACCTGAGGGCAGAGGGAGGGCTGGGGGAGAGGAGACTGATGCTGCCATGAGCCTCTGCCGTTGAGTCAGCTCTGACACATGGTGACCCCATGTGTGACAGAGCAGAATGGCGCCTGGGCCTGGGCCATTCTCAGAGTCCTTGGCATGTTTGAATCCATTGTGTGGCTCATGGGCCAGTCCATCTCACTGAAGGACCCTCACCGTGGCTGGCCTGCTGCTTCCCCAAACAGTGTCCAGCCTCCAGTGATCAGTCCCTCCTGACGACGTGTCCAAAGCACATGAGTGGAAGTGTTCTGTTGGGATCATAAGGTTTTTATTGGCTGAATTTTTTTTTTTTTTAGTTAATTTTTTTTTTTTTTTTACCCTCTAGTTAGTGGTTTAAGGAGCTCTGGTGCTGTAGTGCCTAAGGCATTTATTTGACTACTAACCAGAAGGTTGGCAGTTCAAATCTACCAGCTGCTCCACGGAAGGAAGATGGGGCAATCTACTTCCGTAAAGATTTACCACCTGGGAAACCCAGTGGGGGTCACTGTGAGTCAGAATAGACTCCATGGCAGTGAGTTTAGTTTTTGGTTGCTTTGAGTTAGTGGTTTACCCTCTCTCCCCCTCCTGGTAACCATCAACAAATATTTCTTCTCTTGTGAAACCCTTTTCTTGACTTTTTTCAATAATGATCTCATACAGTGTTTGTCCTTTGATGATTGACTGATTTCACTCACTATAATGGGCTCTAAGTTCATCTGTGTTATGAGACATTTCACAGATTCATCATTGTCCTTGAACGCTGTGCAGTATTCCATTGTGTGCATGTACCATAGTTTGCTGACCCATTCCTCCACTGATGGGCATTTAGGTTGTTTCCGCCTTTTTGCTGTTGTGATGGTGCTGCAATCAACATGAGTGTGCATTATCTGTGTCACAGCTGTTAGTTCTCTAGGATATATCCCTAGTAGAGGGATTGCTGGATCATGTGGTATTTCCATTGGCTGATTTTTCAGAGATAGTTTGCCAGGCCTTTCTTCCTAGTCTGTCTTAGTCTAGAAGCTCTGCTGAAACCTGTCCACCATAGGTGACCTTGCTGGTTGTGGTAGTTAAGTTTTTGTGTCAACTTGGCTGGGCCTGGTGGAATGGCTGGGCAGCTGGATGTAGTATTCCCCATGATGAGACTGGTAATCAACTCCATGGTGGAATCTACTATAAGCAGCTGAGTAGCTGCCTTTGGGTATGTGGTCTGCTTCCTGTATATAAGCAGGAGCTTTGGGAATGGTCTCTAGCCTTTGGCACGCTTGGACCCTGCATGTAGCCGTGTCGTTGCTCAGCAGCCTGCTATGCTCTGCCGACCTTGGGACTTACAGTGGACTTAAGTTAATAGCCTGCCATGTGGATTGGTAACACTGGGACTGTGCCTTTTTACTTGTCAACCTTGGGGCTTCTCAGCCTCAGCAGCTAGCAGCTGTATGAGTGAAGAAACGCCTCTAGCTCCAGTGGGCCAGGAGTAGGAGGCAGAGCTGGACTCCAAGGTTGAGGGGCTTTCACCCAGCCCCTAGAGCCTGGCACTTTGAATTTGGACTTAAAGCCTCCAAATTGTAAGAACAAACTCCTGTTTGTTAAGGTCATCCCATTTGTAGTATGTTTTCCTGTCAGAGTAGCACTAGGAACCAGAACACTGGTATTTGTAATACCAGTGGCTTCCCACAGCAACACACAGCTACCACAGTACATCAGCTGACAGACAGGTGTGGAACCTTTATTAGAGGTTGAATTAACCTGGTAATGTGATTCCAAAAGGTCAGCCATTGAAAACTCCACAATGAACAATAATACCAGGGAGTACACGCTCCTTAGAACCGTCAACCACGGGGGATCAGAAGGGTAGCATGTGCAGAGGGACATGGCTTAGAGGACAGGAGCGCGTAGGAAAGAAGGACACAGGGAGGAAGGGAGAAGAGAGCAATTACATTAGAGAGATTGCGATCAATGTTGTGAAACAAAATGTGTATGAACTCTTGCATAGAAAACCAATTTTCTGTGTAAACTTTCACCAACATCACAATAATAATAATAAAAATTTTAAAAAGAGAAAATAATAGTAATAATAAGAAGAAGAAGGAGCCCCGGGGAGCAGAGTTCTGCTGTGACACATGCGGGGTCACCATGAGTCAAGACTTGGTACCAGCTGCTTCGGGTTTTTCTAGTTTCTGGTCAGCTGAGTGGTGCAAACAGTTAATGTGCTCGGCAGCTAACCAAAAGGTTGGCGATTCGAGTCCACCCAAATGCACCTCAGAAGACAGGCCTAATGACCTGCTTCCAAAAACTCAGCCATTGGAAAGCTCCAGAGCACAGTTCTTCTCTTTATTTTCTTTGTGGTGGTAGATACCTGACTGTTTGCATTTATCAGAACTCATTAATCTTTACACTAAAACAGGTGAATTTCACTCTGTGCTCATTATATTAATAAAAAATAATAGCCAGCTACCACGTTGGGTCACCTGCTGTACCACACCACTTGTCCTCATAATACCCGTAGGACACAGGTGTTTTGTCCCTATCTTACAGATAAGACTCCCGAAGCTTAGGCCGAGTAAGACACCCACGAACACAGCTCATAAAAGTGTCTGATGTCAATACCCAAGTGTTAACCACAGCTCCTGCAGCCATCCCACCCTGCAGCAAATCTGCCTGACACCTTAACCACAGTCGGGACGAGGGCCACGTGCCCACAGGGACAGGATGACCTTTCAGAGGCAAGGTGGTGGTGGTGTTCGGTTGTTAGGTGCCATCGAGATGGCTCTGACACGTGGCAACCCTGTGTATGACAGAACGAAACACTGCCTGGTCCTGCGCCAGCCTCACCATCCCTGCTACACCTGAGCCCATCATCACAGCCACTGGGTCAGTCCAGCTTGTTGAGGGTCTTCCCCTTTCTCGCTGACCCTCCACTTTACCAAGCTTGATGTCCTCCAGGGAATAGTCCCTCTGACAACATGACCAAAGTATATAAGATGAAGTCTGGCCATTCTCACTTCCAAGGAGCATTCTGGCTGCACTTTCTCCAGGACAGACCTGTTAGTTCTTTTGGCAGTCCATGGTACTTTCAGCATTCTTTGCCAGCACCACAGCTCAAAATCATCAATAATTCTTCAGTCTTCCTTATTCATTGTCCAGCTCTCACATGCATATGAGGAAATTGAAAATACCAGGCTCACCTTAGTCCTCCAGGAGACATCTTTGCTCTTCAGCACTTGAAAGAGGTCCTTTGCAGCTGATTTGCCCAGTGCTATATGTCATCAGATGCCCTGACTGCTGCTTCCATTGGTGTCGATTGTAGAACCAAGCAATGTGAAGTCTTTGACGATTTCAATCTTTTCTCCATTTATCATGATGCTGATTAGAATAGGTCCAGTTGTGAGGATTTTTGTTTTCTTTACATTGAGATGTAATCCATACTGCAGACTGTATTCTTCAATCTTCATCACTAAGTACTTCAAGTCATCCTAACTTTCAACAAGCAAAGTTGTGTCATCAGCATATCTCAGGTTGTTAATGATTCTTCCTCCAATCCTAATCCCACTTCCTCTTCATATACTCCAGCTTCTCAGATTATTTGCTCAGCATACAGATTGAATAAATATGGTGAAAGGATACAACCCTGATGTACTCCCTTCGTGATTTTAAACCATGCTTCTTCTTGTTGTTGTTATGTGCCATTGAGTCGGACCC